CCAGGAATAAAAAGGCAAGATTCTGTAACACAAAGACCATCTAAAAGTCTTGTTCACTAAGATGACCAAACCGACAGATGTTTCTCCTGCAACTTTTTCTATGTGCGTTTCAAAAACTCCGTTCACCTGCTGTCTTGTAGCAATAAGTGTGAATACTAAAAAGAAAAAGTTACTACATAACAGCAGCAACGAACAACCCGAAAATCTGCTCTATGAAGAGATAAAAACGGAGTTCACGGAAACATGACAAAATTTCAAAATGAATAAAAAACGTTTGCTTATCGCGTTTTCACGAAAAACTGATTTTTATTGTAATGTAAAATGGAATGCGACAATAAAGGGACTTAACCACTATACTTGTACTTTTCATCTGAATATGCATAAAGCAGGCGTATGAAAAACCCTGCTCAACAAAATTTGGAAGATCTTCACAGTATTCTAATCAATAAACAGTTAAAAAGACAAAAAATGAAATTGCTCATGATCACAATAGTAAACTCCGTCAAATTACCGATACACTATTGTCGAAGTAATCGAGTGTCAACGACATCTGAAAAATTCTGTCGTTTTTAAAATGCCTTTTAACTGCGCGGTAATACAATATAATTCGGTGAAAGTCCTTAATGGTAAAAAGAGAACTTTTGATTAAAGATAACTAAAATATTTTTACAGGAAAGACAAGCCATATAATTAGACTTCAAAGAATATCAAATCTCTACATATCAACTTGTCATAGCCAAGCGCATCGCTGATAACTGGTAGATGAACAGAGTAATATCAACAATAAAAATTCAAGTAGGCATGAATAAAAAAGCATTCAAGAAGAACTATCAAACAAATCTTTTTGTCTTCCAAACGCACTAAAACAGTTTTTTTTTACAGTCAAAAACTGAAAGGATATGAATTATGAGAATGTAAGCAAAATAGTTCAAACCAGTATAGAAGCTGAAGTATAAAATAGTTGTGCCTCAAATAACGGTGGTTCCAGAATCCGGAAAAAAAAATGCATTAGTTTGTGTGGCAGTTTCATGAAGTATTTTGTAAGTATTCCTGCGATGCTTGACACAATGCCTGCCCATAGGCCGTAATAAATGCTTATAATTTTAACACCCCATGTAATTTATTCGCTATACTTTCAATACGGCGCAGCATACAGCTGATAGTTCTCTTTCAGCTTCTTTTAAAATTGTTTGTCTTCAAACCCAATTAATACCCGGATAATGTAGCTTGGGAATTCTCTATTAAAGCCACTGTTGAACAACAACTTCTAAACGCGAAACGCAACATCAGACACCGTCTAACCAATGGAAAACAACAACCAGTTTGTTTACGCGTCGATTTTCACCATCCCAACGGCCAAACTCACTGCTGTTGCTGTTGTCAATCTCCGACCCGCTGATAAGCATTGTTTTCAATGGGACAGAATCAGGAATTACGCCAAAAGTTGGCAATCACCCAATTTCCCAGTTCAAACAGTTTTTACAACCATAAATTTGATTTAAATTCGGCATAAAGCACGCCTTAAATTTATCCGGTTTGTAGTTCAAATATTAAATATAAAAAAATAGAAAGGAGTAAAAAGTGCGGAAGTTTCTTTCGACGCATTAAAACTTCTTGTAGAAAAGGCGACCAGGAGTTCAAAAGTTATGGACTTTGAAAGGACGTTGGAAGATTTCTGAACCTGATAGCGTTTCGGCTGCTTGTATCAGAACTGTTGCCTTTCCTAACAGTGTTTTCATCGACTGACGAGTGCACCAGCAAAAAAAAGTCGTATCAGAATCTTTGTGATTAATTAGCAGCCTATGTGCATCTATAATTTTTAGGTACGATGATCTGTCCGGGGTTGAAAAGCAAAGCCGAATTCAACAACTTCGTCGAGGAAAAAAGGTGACTTTGTTCATTCATTTGGGCATTTTGCTATTAGAACTTATCTGTCTGAAAAAAGGCACTTTTGAGATATAATTTTTTGATCTTTTTTGAACAAAAATTTGTATTATCTCTTTTACTTCTTGCTTGCTTTTTTAATCACTCGCATACCAATTTTTTACCTTCTGATATCTAACATTAATAATATTATTTATTGATAAAAGTATTCTTAACTGTGTTTTGCTATGACTGCTCAATAAAACGCTATATTAAGCCCGCAAGTTTCGCCAACCAAATTTTTTTGCTGTTTTGCCTATTCAAAAGTTTATGAATGCTTCACTCTAAAACATTTGAACTTTAGTTTTTGCGCTTTATTCAGGAGAACATCGAAGGTTTTTTTTTTTATTTTTAATTGATTCTGGTCACTTTACTGCTAAACAAGTGTCAGAAACACAGGTATTCAAATATAGAAGTTTGCCACTGAGCGGTTTAAAAAATGCCTTTTATCTGTGGAGGAATAAATGCCGAAAATTGCCATACTCTAGTTTTGTTTTAATTGTTTTTTTTTTTTTCGCGTCGCATTACACTGTATCGTTTGAATTTTTCGGTTAATGGTAGGACTAGCAAATTACATTAACGGAGATGGAAGGTGAACAATCAGAGAATTAAGCAGAGCTTACTGTGGTTTTGTAAAAAGAGAGTTACTTTTAAAGAGAACATAGAAAAACTGAACTTTTAAAGTGCACGGAGAAACCAGCAGTGATTTTAAAATATAAGGTAAGTCAAAAAGTTACTAATTAAACTTAGAATCGATTTGGAAAAAAAAAGATAAATATCTTTTGGTTCTTAAGACGTGCATACGAAGAAAGGTGACTTTAGGATTATCTTCAAATTTTATACTTCCCTCTTTAGTGGTTATCTATGGAAACTTTATTTTTTAGTGTTTTATCTCTCGGTTTCTTAGAGTGAAGTTAACCCATTTTATTAGCACCAAGGTAAGTCACCATTTTCTGACCTATTTCTCGTCGTAGTAAAAACTTATTTCAGTTGATAAACATATTTGTAGGTTCACTTTTTTTTTTTTTTTTT